GGAGGGTGGAGGGGGGTTCTCAGTCGCGCAACATGTTACAATATGTAGAGTTTGAGGTTTTCACAGTGGTGGCTATGAAGAGAGAACTCTTCTGTTAGGGAAATAGTTTCTCTTTTCATTGCCATTAATTTGTTCAAGGTTATAATGACATGTTCACTGTTGAAGAAGTAAGATTAACGGTACTATCAAATCATGAAGAACTATTGCTATATTTGTAATTAATGATAGACGTGTCATGCATAATATTTATTTCTGTACCAAATTTCACACGCTTCCAAACTGCAGTGGTCATTTGTTACTGCCATTAAGCTGAAAACTGAAGAAATATTTACCTGGTTTCTGTGTTGTTCCTGTACATTATACAAAGTATTTATCTTAACAGAAGTTCATGTTTTTCAAAGAGCTGTTACCATACATCATGTCAGGACCGTCCATGCATCAGGTGGCATTAGTGCCACTCCCATCTCACAAGTTTGTATGTTTGCAAGATTGCTATGTTGTTATTACCAATTGTAGGAAAATAATAATTACAAGGTTTGGATGACATTAAATGGTTTAACATTCTCATCAGATTCCATGATAATCACTCAACTGGTTCAAAACTTCAGTCAGGAGATCCACGTAGACAAACGCATTTATCATGGTGAGGTTGTGAGCCTACTCTTAGTCTTGAAGAATGGAAAGTAGATTGAACCAAACTTCAAGTAATTTAATGTGTTACAGGTCAGGTTAATAGTGGTGGATAGTCTGGCATTCCCGTTTCGTAATGGGACCCTGGATTCTCTGCTGAGAACCAGATTATTGTGTGATATTATGCAAGAACTGAAGATGATGGCAGTGAAGTATAATGTTGCAGTAAGTGTATATTACTTTGAGTTAACCAAGGTAAATCCTTATTATAATTTTATTAGGAATTCTACCAAACCAAAAGACAGGCAAATTAAGTAAGCAACTGACAAACTGCATGTTGTCACACAATCATGTGACTATAGACAGGGTTTGGATTGGTAATCAGATTTATTTGATTCTTAAACAACTTGTGACTACACCTTACACATCACTGGCACACAAAGACTGGTGTCCTCAGTCACGGTTTTCACTGTTCTGCTTCTTAACGTTGTACTTTAACGTCCTGTTGCACTGATTTTCGTCCATGATATGTAAGCAATGTCCGTCTTTTAGTGCACTCAATTTTACTTGTTACTTCACAACATGTTTCGGCACTATAGTGCTGAGTGCACTAAAAGACGGACATTGCTTCATATCGTGGACGCTGCTTCTTAACATTTTCCTCTGCTTCTGGCCTCACATCCTTGCAGGCTGAAAGGCATCTCACACCAACCTCCTGCTCTTCTAATTGAAGGCTGACTCTAAGTAAAATTTATGCTACAATGAAAAGTCAGTCAGTCAGTAAGACTGTCTTGGTGTCAAGCATCCATCCAGGGCCGAAGACCAGATTTTTATTACTGCCAGACACCCCTGGGTTTGTTGATGTGGGACACCCACTGTGAAGAGACATTGGGTCTGTTGTTTACAACTGCTGCTGGCCATTGCCAGTGCAGCCATTCTCAGGTCAGAGTCCTGCAGGACTCATGACCATATTTTACTGTCTCAGATTTGAGATGCCCCCAACCTGGAGGGCCAGGTCCCTGTATTTATATCCCCCAGGAGCAGGCTGGTCCAGTCCCCAGGCACTGGGTACCCTTTTCATTACCTCCTATGACTCGCAGGGTTATGGTGATAGATATTTGAACCCACCTCCATGCAGGGGGAAGAATGACTCCAGACTGCTGCGCATTATGTAGACTTAGCACAGACTGCACAGAAAATGCCACTTCCAACAGCTCTTCTTTTGTTACATGCGTTACTGTTGTGGCGATCGTGTGACAGCTATGGCCTAGCACCAGGCATGTTTGCAGAACCATTCCCTAGCAATGGCTGTCTGCAGACTTCACACTTCTGGCTTTCACCGTACTTACTATAATATTAATAGAACTCAAATATTCTGTACTGTTAATGTAAGATCCAAAAATTGTACATGATCCTGAGACAGTTCTGATTACCTCCCACATGACCTGTTTTCCTACAGTCAATTTTTCATCCTAATGCCATTTTCCTATCTGCTTGGTCTTTTTGATGTGATTTTTGACCGAAAAACAAATACCAGTGTCTGAACATCACCCTAGTAGCTTGTCCTGGCTCTCTGTGATTTCTTTTACATTCCTGAAACTAAGAATCTTCTTGATATTGAGAGCAATATCGTTGCACTAAAAGGACTTGCTGAAAATGATTTCTAACCATGTTTCCAAACATCGGTCATGTGTGCAAAATGTGTTGAAGGTAGTGACATTAAAGGTTGGTGGAAATGTCATCTTTTCAGAATCAGCCTGGTTATGTTAGGCCTTGTATTTGTGTACATCATAGCTTTTTCGTTTATTCTTTGTTCTTTTTTAGTCCCTTATCTGTCATATGAATGTTTTAATTTTCAAAATGTGACATCTCTAAATGATGTAATTGAGTTTGACGTGCATTCAGTTTTCTCTTGTTTCCTTGATAGGTATTAGTGACAAACCAGCTGACTACCAAAGTAGGCCCAGGAAATGATAGTCACTTAGTACCAGCTTTAGGTGACAGTTTTGGCCATTACAGCAATCAGAGACTTATGTTGGGTTACCTGCAGCATGGTTGTTATGCAGCTGTCCTGTTTAAAAGCGTAAGAAAACCACAGTCATCTGTAAAGTTCCAGGTAGTTATTACAGTTGTATGATGTTTATGGTGTTTAACAAAGAAAATCATCTTTGCCATATTATCCAAACTTCTGTGTCATTTATTATAATTTCAGATACTCAAGAGCGGTATTCGGGATTGCAGCACATCAGTTAAATGAAATATACACTCCATAAAGTGCCATTCATAGGAGGCTGTGGTAATGTTAACTGCAGACTGAATTGATATATTTGTTTCAAGATTCATAAATTAATACAAGCATATGTGTTAATGTGTTTGAATACTAGTTGCCTGTTTTAATGTTAAGAAATCATGAGAAGAAAGAAGAAATTGATGACTGTTCATATAGAACTGAAACTGTGCTATAGGAAGAGGAATGAGGAGGAGTACATTATACAGGAAGCCCACCCACGATAATCTATTTGAATGGCAGCAAAGAAGCAGAGTATGCTGTCCATCTTAACAAACAGAGCCAAAGCCATCTATGACCAGCACAGTCTCCATGTTTAATTATATTTTCTTCAGAAACCTACCAACATGATGACTACAACAACCAGCACATTCCTCGTGCTCTCAGTTTACCACTGAAAGGTAAATCACCTGTAGAAGATCATACTTCAGTGGCCCTCTGGTGCTTCATTTATACCACTTCAGCAGCGTTAGCAAAGAGCTATCAAAGCATATCATGACAGTAAGCATCCCACCAAGGAAAGTCCTAGTTTCCTGTTTCCCACCAAGGATAATATAGCCTTAAAAACATTGGGCATATACAGCATCTGCTGTGAATGTGGTACAGTGTACATTGGGCTGGTTGGAGATTACATCACAATCAAGGCCAAAGAGTACTGTCACCATAGCTGGATATGTCAGCTAGAGAAATTAACCATGACAAAACAGCATAAACTTTGGTCATGATGTTGAACTAAATCTTACCAGTATCCTCGTCAGGAAATCTACACATAAGAATCATGTCATCAAGGGCATAACACAGATTAAGCAGCTTCTTAATAACTTTAACAAGGAAAGTGGTTTCTCACAGAGAAGGTGTGTAAGCCTAATTCACAGCCTGAAGAAATGGGACAGATTTGTTTCTATAGCATATTGACTTGGCACTCCTTTTCACTGGCCCTGAAAAGGGCATTCATTTTTAGTATCCCTGTTAAGGGCCTTTTTTTTTTGTAATGGTCCTAGCAAGTACTTTTTTCTGCTTCTGTTGACCTGAACAGATCTGCCCCCTTTCATGGCTCTGATTGGTCAGTGTCCTTGTTCTGCCACCTTACTCATATAACCTATCCATAGCTTATCCCTGGTCACTTCAACCGTGAAGAGGAAAGGAGCAGGTTCTTCTGAAGCATTGGTATCCACCTGCATGATGTCATAACTCAGGGGACCTCAATCTAGACCTACGGTGTTATGTTTGTATCTATATGTGTCACATCTCCCCTAGTTACTTAAGAACAAATTAAGGATTTCACTATCCAAACATATTTTGCTAAAACTGTCAAATAAAACTGGCCCGGATGTTTATATGCAATGATGAATAATTGTCTTTCCTTTCCTTCCTTTATTTACTGCAGTTTTTTTTGTAAGGCTTCTGAAATTTTCTGCCCTGCAAATATCCGTTATTCGTAGCAAATTCTGAAATGTTATAATTGGTATATCTCTCTCTCTTTTTTTTATACAAATTAGTAGATGTTTTGTAACATCTGGATCTTTCTAATCACTTCATTGGTCCAATATTGAGAATGTGAGGAAGAAATCAGAATTGTATGAGAAACCTAGTAGTGGGCATATTTAGATCAAGACCTTCCATGTTGAATTCATAATTTTTCATTTAGTTTATTTGTATTCCTAAATTGAATATGTAAGTTTGTGATTCTTTTAACAAAGAACAGTTACACTTTGATATAACTTGTACCTTCACTGCAGCATTTAGCATAGAATGAGTAATCATATTTATTTTTATCAGTGACAAGAATGAGAATAATTTTGTATTTTATTTGCTGTAGACTGTTTAATGACCTGTTTATCCTGGTCCTCCAGATTGAGGGTTTATTAGGAGTCAGGTAACAACTCCAGATAAAAACATATTTACTCAGAAACTTTAATATAATGTGTCTGGAATAAGGAATACTAAAAATTATTGCTATTTCTCTAGTTTTCCAAACCTCTCAGTGAAACTTTTTAGGCAGTGAAAACCTATCAAAAGTCTATTTCTATTAACCAAGCTACACAGAAGATTCAGAAATCGCTGTTCAAAAATTGTTTTCTATGTGTTTCACCTTTTAAAAGTAAAGAAAACACTAGAAAATTGGAACCGTAAATTTTCACAGTTGCTTAATTGCTCAGGGCCGACAGAACTTTGAATAGAGTGATGCAAAATAGTGTTCTGAAAGTATGAAACATGCTGTGTTGTGTTTAGTTGACAGTTTGGTCTTCGCCTTTTGATTAATTTTCTTTTTCATTATCTGTGCTATCATCGTCATCTTCCCCATTTTCCATTTCTTGCTGATAGTTCTTGGGCTTGACATTTGCAGGATTATTGTCCACACCATCCACAGCTACTGGGATATTGTTTGCTATTACCATTATTGGTGTTGTTTGTAGCATCTGAAACTTTTGACTGGATGTGTTCATCACTACCAGTGTCCTCTGACACAGCAGTTCAATGACACTTTGAAGAAAGTTTCTCTGGAAATTTTGTATGAACTGTTAAAATTATTACTCTGATTTTGAAATATCAGTTATCTATTTAGCTGATCATAATTATGAGAGTATTTTTTGCTGGGTTGTTTTGTTTCACATACAACTACCCAATTCACTTCAGCTTGTATGGTGTATCAGCATTACAAATGGACAATACACAAAAGGACGGAAATCCAACAAGATAACCAGTCTATCATAACCGCAAACCGCTTTGAAGTGCTGTCGAATCTGAAAGAGCCTGAATTCAAAAAGGTAACTCGTCAACAAACAAGTGGGAAAGTTAGGAGAAAAAAGGATAATCTTCAAAATCCAAGAAACAAGATTTTATTTCTTGGTGACAGTCATGTAAGGGAAATGGCGGCTAAACTATGACATAACCTGAATGTGGAATACAGTGTTCGAGGACTAGTAAAACCTGGTGCAGATCTAGCAACAATTTTAACTTCAGGTGAATGATATTGAGGACTTCTCTAAAAAGGAGTTGGTGATTGTGTGGGGTGGTACTGAGGATGTTAGCAGGAATGAGACTGATAAGGGACTGATCCAAATTAGGAACTTTGTAAACAAGAATACTCACACAAATGTTTTAGTTATGAACCTAACAGATAGACATGACTTGGGGCAAAAATCATGTGTAAATGATGAGGTGAANGAATGTGGAATACAGTGTTCGAGGACTAGTAAAACCTGGTGCAGATCTAGCAACAATTTTAACTTCAGGTGAATGATATTGAGGACTTCTCTAAAAAGGAGTTGGTGATTGTGTGGGGTGGTACTGAGGATGTTAGCAGGAATGAGACTGATAAGGGACTGATCCAAATTAGGAACTTTGTAAACAAGAATACTCACACAAATGTTTTAGTTATGAACCTAACAGATAGACATGACTTGGGGCAAAAATCATGTGTAAATGATGAGGTGAAAAGGTTTAACAGAAAGTTAAAAAAAAAATGAAGGTGTTATAGAGATAGAATCCAAAAGGGACTCATTTACTAAACATTGGTTACATATGAATTCAAGAGGTAAGGAGCAGATAGTAAAAGGAATAGTAATAGAAATTTTGGATATGTGGAGGGAGAAAAAGTCTCACCCAATTATAATGAAAGGGAAGGATGAACAAGAGCTAGAAGAGGAAGGGACTCATATTCCACCAAGAAATGGACCCTTGAAAACAGAAGGAAAAGAAATGGTCAACCCAGGAACATAGAAGGTTTGATTGTCACTGAATTAGACAATACCCCTGATAAACGTAACAGGAGAAAACCCATTAATAGGAGCTCGGATGAATTACATATGAATTCAAGAGGTAAGGAGCAGATAGTAAAAGGAATAGTAATAGAAATTTTGGATATGTGGAGGGAGAAAAAGTCTCACCCAATTATAATGAAAGGGAAGGATGAACAAGAGCTAGAAGAGGAAGGGACTCATATTCCACCAAGAAATGGACCCTTGAAAACAGGTGGAAAAGAAGTGGTCAACCCAGGAACTTAGAAGGTTTGATTGTCACTGAATTAGACAATACCCCTGATAAACGTAACAGGAGAAAACCCATTAATAGGAGCTCGGATTTTTTATGGGAGGGTTAAGGTATGAACCAAATATAAATAAGTATCTGGCTTTAACTCACAAGTTCCCTAAAAGTGGAGATAAAAATTGTGGCGAAAATCATAATGGACAGGTTGCTAACTCTAATACTACCAACTTATATCAAGGGAAAACTAATCAATCTACATCTCATTTTCTGATGGTATGTCATCAGAATATAAGAGGCTTATTTGATAAAACCGAACAACTGTTAAATTCCTTATTATTTGATCCGCCTCATATAGTTTGATTGACTGAATACCATTTAAAAGAATATGAAATAAATAAAATTTGTGTAGATAATTATGTATTATTATTCTTCTTCTATGGCGCAACAGCCCGATGTCGGGCCTTGGCCTCCCTTATCAAGCTCCTCCATTCCTCTCTTTCCTGTGCTGCTCTCTTCCAGTTCCTTATGCCCATTAACTTCTTTGCATCTTCTTCCACTGCATCATTCCATCTAGTTCTTGGTTTCCCAGCACGTCTCCTGCCACCTATTTGTACTATATAACATTTTCTTCGGAATACGCTCCTTATCCATTCTCTGTACATGCCCAGCCCATTGCAATCTTTTTAGCTTTATCGTCACTGAGATCTCTGGCTCCTTATATAATTTGTATAACTCTTTATTATATCTTATTCTCCATATCCCATTCTCTTTTATTGGTCCATAAATTCGTCTTAGGATTTTCCTCTCAAAAGAATTGATGACTGATTCATCTTTCTTGTTTAGCGTCCAACCCTCACATCCATAATAAAGCACCGGTCTTATCTTTGTTTTATATATTTTGTTTTCATCGCTCAGTGTATATCCTTTGATCTAAAAACTGATAGTAACGAGAAATATGCATTATTCGCTAGTTTTACTCTTCTTGTTATTTCATGATTTTCCTCTCCATCTTTGTGGAATTTCGATCCTAAATATATGAAGTCTTCAACTATTTCTATCCCGTCCCCTTCCATGTTAATTTCTCCAGTTTGCCTTGGATTCTTTCTAGACTGTATCAGCATTTTAGTTTTATTTACATTCACCTCTAAGCCAGTTGTTTTTGCTATGGTTTTTATTTCTTTCTATATCTCCTTCATTGCTCCTAGATAATTATGTATTACGGGCCAATTATTGTACATCAACATACAAAAATGGGGGTGTATGCATATATATTGTCGCGTATCAGGCGTATATCGC